GTCGCATTTTTCAGGAAATGATCACAACACGATGGCGTGCCCTGACTGACCCTCGGACAAAGTGCAATGTTTTTTCTGCCACTGCACTACCTCCGCCACCCTTCATAAGGAGCAGAATTATTATTATTGTATCCTTTATCTAGCTAAGACATCCGGTAAGCTACTAGGCAGCCAGTCAACCAGTTATGCCTGTGATAGTCATGGGCAGATACGTAACCGGTGTAATAAATGGCTTTTAGTAAGACATAACGGCTGTAATGGCACCACTTGCTTTCTTCACAATAACCACTGTAACCACTGTGACACTACGAAAACTGCAATAACAGTAACATTACAACAAAATGGTCTGAGAACGGGAAAGGAACCGATGAGGAGGTTGTCATAGGATTTAAACGAACCGTGCGGGATGATCGGCGCCAGCCGAGAGGAGAGAGGAGGAGTGAGGTGAGCCTTAAGCTTTCGACCTTTTCCAGGGAACACATTACAATTTCTGGCGTAGTTCGGTCTGGTGGGGGCAACTCAGCTGATTGTGAACTTGTTAGGGCCACTTTGTGAAGACCTGTGACTAACGTAGCTCACTCACACCATTTCAGAGCTTTACAGAAATTTAGAGATCTCACCAAAGTGAGTACTGCTCGTCAACATGAACTACCAAAAGGAACGGAAAAAGTGCGAAATGCCCCTCCAAGCTAAAGACCGTCCAATTATTTCAGCTTTGCCTACTGCGGCTGTCTCTCATATTTCGTCTCGACTTCCTTTCTCTGCGTTCACCTACTTTCCCATCCTATGGGAGGCTATAAGGACGAATTACGAATTTCCGACTCCAATGCCGCTCGCTCAGACGCACGCCTTGCCCACTGCAGATATGTCGCGCATAAGCTACGTTTACACTTGATAAGGGTCCAAAGACGTGAGGCATGATTTGAGTCCCTCATATTAGAGGTGTACCTCCCTAAGCTGAACAGGGCCGACAGTGTTTGAGTGTGTTACTCAACCCGCACGCTTCGCCCACTTATGTGAAATCGCAGAAATGAAAAAAAGAACAAAAATGGCGAAATCAGAATAATAGAATAATTCCGTCTCAAAGCAAAACTTCAGGCACATTCCGCAACGTTCGTACGGGAGAAACCACTGCCTACCTTAGGCTGCATTCATACTTTGCGGCAGCGTCCAACAGCGACCAGTAGCGTCCATCAGCGTTCCGAGCGTTCCGGCAGCGTCAGCGACTAGAAGGTATAGGTATCGATCTACGTCTGCCAGCGTCTGCCATCGTCGGCCAGCCAGCGACCAGCAACACCTTAGGATTGAAGAGTATGGGGCGATAGCAGACAGCTGGTAGAGTAGGGGGAGATAGGAAGGTAGTAGACTGCTGGTAGAGAGTATGGCGCGATAGGAGGGTAGCAGACAGCTGGTACCCTCCTATCGCCCATACTCTCTACCAGCAGTCTGCTGCTGGTCGCTGGTGGACGACGGTAGACGCTGGCACACGCTGGTAGACGCTGTATCGATTTCTATACTTTCCTAGTTACTAAGCTGCCTCGGAACGCTAGTGGATGCTGCCGCAGAGTATGAACGCAGCCTTAGGATGCTCTCACAGACCCTGCCGTACGCTGACGATTTCTCAACAGGATAGGAGGACCTATTCAGCTGGGGTGGAAATGGCTCTCCCAGCTTTTGAGGCAGAGGAAGAAGAGTACATGTTGGTAAACAGTTGAGTGACGAGACCACCGTAATATGCCGCACTGGTGAGCGCGGCGCACCACGCAGCGGAGTGCGGACGAGTTGTCCTGTCTGATCTGTTATACCCGAGTGTTGAAGGAGCGGGAATTTTCGATACCACAGCTTATGATTTTCGTCTACGCCTGAATTCATGCGACTTTCGCCGCTTCCATCGACAGACGCGCACCGACTATTTGCCGCGAATTGCCGCGCGATGTGCCGCGCGCGACGGAGCGGTAAATTACAATTCTCTTGACCGTTTCCGGTGGTGGAGAAATGGGTTTTTGGTGAATCCGTCATACCACATTGAAGCCACATTTAACACTGGTTTCATAGGCGGAGCCAAATGAACAAGTGTCCACGTCTCCCCTTTCTGAAATAGCAAAAGGGGAGACACACCAATGAGGGAAGCGTTGTGGTCTGAATGGCTCCGCCCGTAGCATGAGCGTGGATTATACCCCCAAAGGGAGTGAGCTCTCAGGAACCGCCGAGGTCAGTAGAGAAGCTACTTTCACTCCTTTGATTCTGCGCGACCGATTTCTTATCACTGAAAGGAAGCGTGATGCCTTATCAAAGTGGTGATGAGCCTAATTTTCCGAGGAAATTTACCACCAGTGAGGTTCATTCGTAATTCCCCAACCCACAACAGTTCCCTCGAGTTTTCGTAGAAGAGTGAAGTGTGTTCCCCTTTTCTGGCTTGACTTGTACTGCTAACACACTCAGTCTTGTTTCCTTCAGCTCTGAGAGTCTCGGTCTTCTATCATCGCGGCTGCATCGCTAAGTATTACAATTATGAGTCCCGACAAAGAGAAATCCAGGTAGCTTGCCTTGACTATGAGAGGTAGAGGGTGCCGGTCAGGAGATCCACGTTATGGCGTCGCGCAGGCTCCAGGGAACTGCGCCCGCGGCATTGACACTCATCTGGGGCCGCACTTACACGCTTGCGACTTTGCCTTAGCCACCCCTTCACGAACTCGGACCTTCTGACCAACACCTCATGTAGAGGAGTTTTTTTCATCAGTATTTTTCTATAGAAATTAGACAAGCGTTCTTTTTTAGACAACCGGTGTTCGACATAAAGCTTCTCTATACGGATGAGGATATGAATATGACAGGTTGGTGGGTTTGGAAGCTTCACCAAAATCCAATAATATAATCAATTTAGGCCTTCCCAAGTGGGAAGTGGAAGAGAAGAAAGATGATGATTCGTTCTTCATATTGTGCATTTCTTTCGGGATTCTCTTTCTTCTTTTGATCCTCCCAACGCTCCTACTACTGGTCCTTGGCGGGTAGGTTTTCAGAATTTGGATATCTTAATCAGTAAACTATGTAGGTTCGCGTTGAGCAGCAACTCGCACAACACTTCGCTTGCGGCGATTTCATGGCGCACCTACGTCGCGCGCGGCGTATGCACCACTCGCGCGCTGCATGTGCGGCTTACCGCCAAAATGACTCATCGTACTGTGATTATATTCGTAATCACCCCTCATCGCACCCAATCCGCCTACTGCTCTTTGAAATGAGCGGTGCCGTCCAATGTAGTTGAGCCATGTCGAAACTGCTCGTCTGTACGACTTCCGAAAATTTTGCTGTCGAGCGAGTTGGAAGGGGAGGGCATAGAACGTACCTGAAATGGAAAAACATCAACAATTAAATGAAATTCTACCCGTGCCAAATACGATATGGTAGCGTTCAGAGTCCGCGACGGCAGCGTTTCGGTCGCGCGTACGACGCGATCGCTCGCGCGGAGCAGTCGGTTGTACGAGCGATCGCGTCGTACTCGCGACCGAGACGCTGGCAGGGCATATCGTTGTTGGGGAATTCCTAATTGGGGGGATCGTATTTGGCCGCCAGCGATGGGAGGTTGAGGTCATATTGGGCCCGAAGAAAGAATTCAGTTTAATAGTTGATTTTCTCGCTTTCGGGACGTTCGGGTGAATGGGGGGGGTGGGGGTATGGAGTCGCCCGCCCTACTGCGACGGCCTCAATTACGGTGTTGCCATAATATCTTTGTGAGACCGCCATTATATGTGTGAGGGTCACTGTAATTGGACTCTTTTTTCTTCGTGCTCTTTTCATTTGTGTCTCTCTTCCTCTACCTAAATACGTAATGTCTTAGTCCTTTCCCCAATGTGTGTCCGATGCTGAACTTGCACCTGTAGAGAGAACGTGCTCAATTCAGCGGGGATTTTATGGACTGTTTGCTTTTTTCTTATTAGGTCATCGGGATCTATTCACTCTTATTGGCCCCATTACCTGTGCTCCCTGGCGCAGTGTATCTTTAGTACTTTCTACCCGCATATTGCCGTCTGAAGAAATTCGAGCTGTCGTGATGTACTGGCATAGCAAACTGCCACATGCCTCAATGTAGAATCTTCGCCTGTCGTTTGGGCGGAGTCGGGCCTGAAACTTTGGCTCATTCATTGGTGCGCAAGTGCACTTAACTTACTTCCAACAAATACGCTCGTAGGTACAAACGATCAGATAGGAAACGTAGTAAGGAGAAATCACAAGTCGAAGATCTTTCACACTTGGATCACATATTCGATCCTGATGGACGCTACAGAGAAACCAAATTCGAAGGAATGCTTGTAAGTCCATCGAAAAGTTACAGTAATCGGGGCAGTTCATAGAAACTTAGAAGAAGCTCCAAATCTGAGGAGCAAATCATGACGTCGGGTCCTGAAAAAAGCGGGGACAGTTGGTCTCCCACCACAATGAGCGTCGATGCAGGGTCCGAGGATCCCCTCCTCCCTAAAGAGTGGTGAGTTGTACAGCTCAAATAATAATGACAGGAAGACGAATAACAAAAAAGAAGAAAAAGGCAGAACAGATGTGCCGGAAATGCCCCATATAGAACCCTATGCTGAGCGCGCTAATACATAAGACGAAGAGAGGGCGTGGTCGGACGAGTTCTCTTATGCTGGTGGCATTCATCCTTCACGATTCGAAATGGAGAGAGAGGGAGGCAGTAGCGGAGCAGCCGCATCTCAGGGAGCCTTTAGAAATGGAAGTTGGGCGTTGCGGTGGGCAGTGGGCGGGGCGGTAGCTTCATTGCGAGAAATATGCTCCATGCTCGCGAGTAGCCATGTCCGCAGTAGGGCCTGAACATCAAATGAACTCGGGACATGCCCTCAAGTCACTCGAAGAAAATGCGGTCATGTAATAAAGTGGGGATCGACACCTGGGCGGAGCTTGGCAAACGTGGAAGACCTCTGGCGCCCTTGTCAATTCCTACGGACCGCGTAAGTGTAATATACTCCGCGACTGTGGATTGACCCTGCTCAAGGCAGAGATTCTGTGAAAAGGTAACTATGTCCATGACGAAAGGATTTAGAGGGGAGACGGGTTCTCAAAGTAAGTCCCAGGTCTCCTATTGCAGCTTTGTCCTGGTACTCCGACTTTTGTAAATCCCGGCGCTTTATTGATTGATGAGATAGATCGGATTACAAGCCCCGTCTCAGATTGCTTCACTTATGAGTGAAAATGAAAAATTATTTGATGTTCTGTGCTGAATTTTATTCTGCAGAACGAAGATGCAGCAGATGATGTGGAAATCCCGTCGAAAACGGAAAAAGATGACTCAGCAAAAAGAGAAAAAGAAAAGAAAAAACCGGCTCATTACAGTTACTCGTTTTATTTAGATCTGTAGAAAACATTTCCCATATTATTTTGAGAGATTTGCTAAGTTTATTTCAGCGCACATCGCAAGACGGGCAGGGAGTAATTTTACACTTTGTGCTCCCACTCTGATGAGACCTGTGAACTCTTGTGAGTACGGAGCAAGCTCGTCTAGCCACCTTTCTAGTTGGCTCGACACATTGACGAAAAGTTGCAAAAGGGTAAAATGTTCTCCCCGCCCTCGGCCAAAAACTGTCCGTCTACTTTCTGCCTTTTCTAGTTGTCTCTTCTTCTCCCTTTCTTAGATGCAACAGGACATGAATTACCGGCAGCATATTTCCACTTATCAGCGGTGCTGCTGGGAATCGTTTCCTAGGAAATTGTGCGATCTATCAATCGAGGACTTCCCAGGCGCTGATTTGTCTAGCATGGGGGAGGGGTTGCTTATTCTCGTGAATTGTAAACCCACTGAAACCAGCTTCACATTGTAGGCCAACGTAGTTGTTGGCAAATGATAGCGTTTCTCTTTACGTCAGTGTAACCTGCAGTCAACAATGAACGAAGAGAAATTATCCTCCCGAACGAGTCTCGCCGAATCAACTTTGGAGGGGTAGGAAGCTCGTTTAGCCCGGGCAGAGTTCCATTCAGAATCTGACTACAGCACTAGGTGTACCGGCGCGAATTCTTTTTTTATCCCTTCCATGTAGTGAATATGGGTCTTCATATTTCAAGACGAATATAGTTAAAAATTAAATAATGTCGCATCTTTGCCCGGAGGGCTGATATGACCCCGCTCCGGCTGCCTTATTCTACCACTGGTGGTCGGCTAGCGATCGATTTGGTAAAAAAGAACCAGTGGTGAAAATGGCGCGAGTAGGCTTATACCATCCCCTTGAAACCACCCCGACTGACTGCGACCAAGTCGACTGTAAGGAAGATGCAACAAAGTCAAGTGGCGGCTCAACCGTTTTTTTTTCAGCGGCGCCAAAAATGAAGAACGTCGGCACGCAGACGGAACCTTCCCTCCTTCAGTCCAATGAGGTGAGCGTCGTTAAACAATTCCGAAAAACAGTTGTTTCAGTCATGGCACGCCATCGTGTTGTGATGAAACTCCTGAAAATACGACCCCCCCCCCCCTAATTCCATCCTCTGGAACGACCCCGCCTCCCCATAATACCTACTACTTTCCTAGATTTTCCCAATTTCCTGCCACTTTTTCCAGTTTTTCCGGAATTTCCCAAGAAAATTTCTAGTTTTTCCCCAAGATTTTGCTGTCGAGCGGGGGAGGGGGAGGAGGGAAGGGCGGAGGGGAGGGGCAGGTACAGAGAATCGTAATACGCCGCGCTATTGGCGTGTCGGCGTGCAAACGTCAGCGCCGCAAATTGACGAACGTTCCAGGTCGTAGTGGAGGAGCGACAGCAGGCAATCAGCAAGCCGAAAATAGTCATTGTGAATGTGCTACGCATGAGGGGGTCTGCATGAAGTCCCGGTATGGCGCCAATCCGACAGGTTAACTCGAGTACGAAAACGCTGCATCAAATCTGCCGCGCGCCGGCGGGAGCGGCAACTTACGATTCTCTTGCGCCGTCTGCCAGGAAGGGGGCGGAGGCGTATATATACACCATAGAAACAGGAAAAACCACGCGAAAATTTAACAACTGAGAAAGTTTTTCCAACGCCGCAAATTTCTCTCCAAGACATACGACCCCCTTCCCGTCCCAACACGACCAAAATACGACCCCACTTTATAGGCGTCCTGTAAACAAGAAAGATCAACTGTCAAAAAAATTCGCTCAGATCAACTGACCCCTTCCCTCCGCGCGATCTTGAATACGACCCCATTGTGATTATCACAACGATGGCGCGCCCTCATTACAGTATGATAGTAGCGTACAAAAGGCAGTGAGCCGAGAGAGAAAGAGCAGCCCTGGTGGCGCAGTGAGGAGTACTGCCTGGTAAACTGTAGTTGAGATTCGAGTTCTCCTGGGGTCCTACTTTGGCCATAGAGAGCGGCACTGCTGTGATAACGAAACAGTCTTCCTCTAGCTCTGCTTTTTTCCGACCCTTCTCCTCCCTCTTGGCCATTATTACAACCCTTTCTGAACCCGTTACCTCTGCCCACGGAGACTCTGGGTTCTTTTTTGGTATACTTCTTGGTTATGATAGTTCCGAAGCAGACTTAAAAAATAAACAGTACCCGAAAAAGAAGGAAAAAGCCACGAAACTTCCTAAGAGTTTCCCTGAATGTTGCAGTATGGATTTATCGTTTTGCAACAGTTTTCTGATCATATGTCACATTTTATGACACGAGCTTTTTACTCCTACAAGAGTTAACAAATTTGAAGTAGCTAATAAACCCTCTAGAACCCACTAAAGTAGCATAATTTGCCATCTTGATACTTGTCTGCATGCGCGGAGTGATTGCTATCATAGCACTGTGTCAAAAAGTCAGCCGCCATTTAGCGGGGGGGGGGGGGGATTTTTCCAAGATTCGACTCTCTCCAAATTTCCTGCTCTGATACGACTCCCCCTCATCCTTCCCCATCGTACTTACCGTAGCGTACATAGAACGGGAAAAACCAATGAAAGTCACAACCGAAAGCCTTCTTCTTCGGATGCATCTACGATCCCCACTACGTCGACCAAATACAATCCCCCTTTCTCTCCTCAACGCGCAACGTGCCCTCCAAAAAGTGCCACCACTACCTCCAACATATCAGTGCTACAAGGTTGACCAATCCTTCCAACCTTCCATGGCGAGTTGATTAGTAATGCTGCATTTGGTAGAAAGCTCCGCAGCAGTCCGCAGTGCCGAGCTCCGAGCAGAAGTAGCAGTCACTAATTCTGCTCGTCTGCATCTCTCATCGATAGTTATTCTCCTCTAAGAAGCACTCGTCTCGATCCTTTTCTATCCCATCTTGAGCCCTTTTTATAAATTCTTTTACCATTCTAATTACTTGTATATCGTTGCAAATTTTTCAGTCAACCATCTATCTTCTGCATTTGATAGTAGTAGTTGTAGTTTTTTTTGGGGGGTACCTGTGAAAGCTTGTCAGCATTGTAGATCCTCTAGGCTGTATGCATGTGGATGCCGGCCAACTGTGTCTTCACCCAGGGTAGTTGTGGTCACTTGTCAAGCACCCTGTAAGCCCCTGTCAAACGTGTCAAAATGAGTGGTCCGTCTCTAAAAAAACTGGAAAAATGGCGCTCCAATGACGGCAGTACCATTTCGCAAAGCTTGACAAGAGTTCACAGGTTTTGACAGGAATTCACAGGGCTTACACCCTGAAACACGATTATGAAAAGACACAGGTGTGCCTTCCCCTCCCTCCCCCCTACCTGGGGTTGTCAGGGCCAACGAAAGTGTCAGAAAGCGGTGCAGTGTTGAAAAAAAAACACTTTTTCAGAGTATTCCCATAATGGAAAATCGTTGGAATATACTCCATCCCGTTTACCGAACGGTTGAGGATGACCACAAGTTGGTAGCTCTTTCCTCTGTTTTAGCAGTTCTCTCTTACATAAAACTTTATCATACTAGTTCTAGTTTAGCCACTACAAAATATTCTTGGAATGTAGGTCGATAAGTAGTCACCCAGGCTTGGGTGGAGCCACTTGAGCGACCTTATTGAAGACATAGGACTGTACTACTGTACACTCACCTCCGACGGCGGTCTTGCAATGTGCGAGGCGAATGAATTCGCAGCTGCCGTAGCGTGCCACTTTTTCCGCTCGAATGTGCATGGGAACGGGGCTGCAGGGTAGTGGTACCCGAGTGCCGTCTCCATCCTCCGCCCGTTCCATTCTCAATGTGCAGCATTTGCGTCGTGCAGAGAAGTAGCTCGATTGTCCATAGCTTAGCGCCTGGCTCAGCAGCGCGAAGCAGTATGGAGTCGGTATCAAGGTCAAGCGCTTTTAGCCGGAAAGGTGGCACAGCTACAGATCCATTCTCCTCACATTCGGCAAGGATCAGGATCGACGGAGGTGAATGTACAGCCTGTCTTCAATGCTTCTTCTTAGTACGAAACTTTTGCTGGGTTGTTCATTGCATCCGCATTACCTTTTGCGGCTAAAAGGTGAGTTATGAGGGCGCTGAAGCGGGCATTCGTCACAATGAACCCATTCCATCCACCTAGTCCTAGACACTACCGCTGCAAGGCCACCGTAACCCAGAATCGTGAGAAACGGGTTGAAGTTCCGTTGCAGGTAACTTGTACTTATCAACTGTACAACCTGGGATAGTCCCAGGTGCGTTTGACTCCTTCGAATGGACACCACACGAGAAAAAAAAACTTTATTAGGAACAAAAAAATCCAACAGCAACTGATGCCAACAATAGTTAGTACAATTAGATGACACACAGAAGATCAACCCAGCCTCTGAAGCTGGAGCGGAGCAGGAGCAGGGAGAAAACCCAGGCGAGACCCCCGAGCAAGAGAGAGAGAGAGAGAGCGTAGACCAACATTTAACACGTTCCGGACCGCGTGACACACATGGTGTGTCATGAATTTGCCTCTATGCTGTCTTTTATTTGATTATTTTGAATATTCTTTCATGTTCTGTTCTTGTGAAAACACGTCTTCGGTTATCAACATATCCTCCCTCATGAGCGTTTGAAAATAGGGAGGAAATTACTGATCAATTTTTTATGAAAAATGATGAAATGATTAGGACGTGCGCGCAGTACGGCGGTCCGCAATGTGTTAAACACCTCAAAAACTGCAGGACGACTCCTGGACCCTCAGTCTTTCTTTTATAGGTCCTCTACTTAGTTAGCCTGAGGGGAAATTGGCGGGTGTTCTCCATCGCCTAGGGGCAAATATCAGTACCTTTGATCTCTCTCGCCACCCACCGCCAGAGGGGGTTACCGTAATCCTGACCATATCGACACATCGCGCGCAGGGGCTCAACATGATCTCCTCTTCTTTGGGATCTCGCCAGTGGGCCGCCCCCTGCTCCTTTCCCTCTTTGACAACTCCATTTCGAAGCAGTTCATTGTCGACGATTAGCTCATAATTTCTGCTTAAAGCAATCGTTTTAGGATGACTCCACGAAGATATTCGCTGAAGGTATGATTTCAACTCTCTTCCAATTCCTACTTCACTTTAGCAGTAGGAACAAAATTGTTCTTGCTCCGTTTTTGTTTCCATCCACCTGTCGTCGCTTTGGTCGCTGCAGGTGAAATGCTATTCATCCTACCTGAAGAAAGTGCAGTTCTTAAGTTTTCTAAGTCCGGGTTCCTCCAGCTGTGGGGAGATTTGCGAATCGCAGTATCGCAGGTTCTAGCAGGTGCTAGCTTTTTTGGGCGCGGTCACAAGGCACACCACCGTATCTTTTCCCTATCCAAAGCCAAGGCTTACAGCACAGACGATCAGAGTAGCCATAGCAGGGCACATCGTTGTTGAGGAATCCCCAATAGGGGGTCGTATTTGACCGCTAGGAGAGAGAGAGGGGGGGGTCGTTATGG